TAGTTACATGATTCAAAAATGAAGGTTTAATAAGTTGTACTTATGCACAATTTACTTGTAATCCTGAAGTTTAAGTAATATGCATCAATAAACAGTATTTCATGCATAAAAATGGTTTTTAAGAGTTTTTGCAAATACTTTATAATATAATATAGATATATATAATTGAACAACCTATTACTTCTATGGGGGAGGGACCCATACATAATTGTAACCTTAGGTGGCGTTTGGTTCGTAGATTCTGGAGGAATCTGATGGAATTGGAATGTTGAATTCCATTGACCAAATCCCTTGTTTGGTTCATTCTTTTTCACGAAAGTAATCTTCAAAATCCTACAAATTCCACAAATAAAGGAATTTAACATTCCTTAGCAACTACATGGTATTTTGATGGAATGTAATCTCTCTTCGTTATACCAAATATGCCCTTAACCTAATATACTCTAATCTCATAAAACTCAATATGACCATCGTCGACCACCTCTCGACCACTATTGATCTGAACCACCGCCGACCACCACCACCGACTACCACCGACCTGAACCACCGCCGACTACCACCGGTCTGAACCACCGCCGACTACCACTGATCTGAACCACCACCGACCATCACCACCACCGATCTGAACCACCGCCGACCACCGCCGATCTGAACCACCGCCGACCACCGATCTGAACCACCGCTGACCACCACCACTGACTACCACCGATCTAAACCACCACCGATCTGAGCCACCACTAATCTGATTCACCGTCAATCTAAACCACCGCCGACCACCGTCGATTTAGTAACGTCGTTTGGCTTATGATTATATTTGGGTTGTATATCTTATATTGTTTTACATATTAAATAATTATTTTATTAAAGTATTTTTAGTTTAAAATAAATAAAATTTTCAATTTTTTTTTTCAAAAAAGGGCATTTTGGTCATTTACTAAAATTTTATTCCAATTCTAAAGCTACATTCTGTGAACCAAACAGAAATATTCCAATTCCTTAACAGATTCCATTCCAATGTCTTCCAACCAAACAGGAACATTCCATTCCAATTCCTTCAAAGTCAAATTCTTTTAACATATTTCATTCCATCCAAAAACATTCTGCGAACCAAACGTCACCTTAGTTTCTTTATTTGATAAATCTCAATATTTAAGCCTTAAATGCAAATATTTATGAGTAATTCAAGTACTCCAGCAACTGTTACATTTAGAGAAACATCTTAATTATAAAGAATAGTATTTCATGAATGTTTATTATGATCAAGAGCTTTAATGAATTATCATTCACAAAATATCATGAAAATTTCTCATTCATGAAACCATAAATACTCACTAAGCTTATAGTTCATATATCTCATGTATGTATATCAGGAAAGAAGTAAAGAGGATTTACATAAAAGAGTATGGTTTTAGTCAATAAGCAAGTTTTGTTGTAATACAAGCTATGGTTACATTTTTGCTAAGTAATTTCTTCTTTGATATAATTTCAATATATGTTATAAATTAAGTTGAATTTCAAGTTCAGATTCAAGATGTAATAGTTTTATCATGTAAAGTAACGGCACCCAATATACAAGGACGTGGGGCATTACAAATGGTATCAGAGCTTTTAGTTTAAGTGAACTAAGATTTGCCTTAAATTAAGTTACTTAGACTTAAACTATGGAAAATAACATTAAGTATTAGAATTTTATAATCATGTGTATAAAATTTTAATAATTTCATATTTGTATCTCCTTTTAGATGGTTGATTCCGACACAGATTTCGACCCCTAGTTCGCCGAAATTGAAATAGAATACGTCGAAAATAATCTACCTATTGATAATGACATAGAAGAAGATGAAGAAGAGGAAGACATACCTAGAGAAGAACAAAATTTGCAAAGATGCATAGCAATGCACGCCTAAACCAAGAACTAAAAATCAAGACAAGAACATTCCTGACTACGATAAAAGACATGTCTTTTTCTAGTTACACAAATTAAGGAAATTTTTAGAGGATGCATAGCAACCTAAGTTGACTTAGACTGGGATGGAACATGGATGGTGCATGACAGAAAATATGTATTCAAATCGTTATCTTATAAAGTATGGATACAATATCGCTACCCGTGCGAAAATTTTAAATAAAATAAAAAAAAGAAAAATTTTCTTATTTCCTAAATTTTGTAAAAAATATCCCGAAAATTTTGTATGATGCATGTTGTATGATAATAATAATAATAAGCGCTATTGTATATTTATGTATTTATTTTTATTTCATAGGATGAATACTCGAAGAATAACTAAAACTGGCGAAGAAAATAATGCACCACCTAAGACAAAGATCCAGAATAAATCCACAAGAATCTACCGGGGGAATTGATATAGCAACAGAAATTTCCCGAGGTATCTAGGAAAGTCTTCTAAGTGTAATAGCTCGAATTCAAATTGCTATGAATCAAAACTTAGAACATAGGGGTAGTAGAGAATCAGGCAAGGCATGAACCAAATAATGGTCAAACTCATGAAGGTGACTATAAAACATTTACAAATGCTAGTCCATCCACGTTTGAAGAAAAAGACAAACCAATAGGTGCCATGAACTGGTTAGATGACATGGAAAGTTATTTTCAAACATGTCAGTGTGCCTCCACTCAACAAGTAAGGTTTGTCTCAACCAAGTTAAAATTGAATGCCCTTCATTGGTGGAAAAAATATTCAATCTATGAAAGGTGTGGCAGAAGCAGCTGCAATGCCATGGGTGGAATTCAAGGATTTGGTCTATAAAAAAATATTGCTCAGATACTCGAATGAAAATAATGGAGGAAGAATTCGTAAAGTTAGAACAGGAAAGCAAATCTGTAGAAGACTATGTGGAAACTTTTATAGAAAAATCTCGATTTGTAACTTACCTAGTCACTACAGAAGCTCGGAAGGTGAATCGTTTCCTACTTGGCCCGAGGAAAGATTTACGCAGATTTGTAAATATGTCACAACCAAAAACCTTCCAAGAAGTGGTAGAACTGGCAATTCTAGCTGAAAAGGATTGTAACGTACCAAACAATAACAAGATAGGCGAGAGAAGAAAATTTGAAAGGGGAACTTTGGCAATCATTTTAAGAAACCCAGGAATGAAGGCATAAGAACATATGATAAACCCACTTGTCCTAAATGCAATAAGCATCACACTCGAGAATGTATGATGGGCATAAATGTATGCTACCGATGCGGTCAGCCTGGTCACAATCATAGATTAATAAACTAAGAGCTGACACTATCACTTTGGATATCCTCAAGGGGTGGTTATAACATGGCTAACTAGGTCATTAATGTTAATCTTTGAACAAAAAGGATGTTGAATGAAGTAACGATGAGTATCTTGATCTCAATCAATATGATAAGAATAGATCTTCAAGATTGTACAACTGGTTAAAGGGTAAAGCTCACAAGCCATGTAATGGATGAAGTTTTCCTGGGTTCCGTCCCATTTTAACAAAAAAACCTATGAGGTAGGGGACTAAAGCATATCTGGAGTGTTGACTGCTGAGACATGGGCATCAAGGAATCAATACCATTCAATGCCATGAAGATCAAGAACATAGGTTATATTCTTGATTAGTCAAATCATGGAGAGATATAGAGGTTATAGGGTGTTCATCGATCTAGTGTTTGCATATTACACAGAATCAAGATGAGTGTTATGATGAGCTTTTGATAAGAACGTTCTGATAATGTATGCTAATGTCATTAAAAATATGTAGGATTGCAGAACTAAGCACATGCAAACATGATGTCTTTCCCCGATCCTATAGGATTAGACCAAGGGCAAACGTTAAGTCTCATTTTTTACTTTTGTTATGGATGAGCTAATAAATGACACCCAAGATGATGTATCAAGGCCTATGCTTTTCATCTATGACATCTATGTTGTTAATTGCGGCGCTATTGCGCTGCAATAGCGGATTGCGGACTAAGATAAAAATTGTGGTCGTCAAATTGCAGAGAAAATTGCGTTTCCGATATTAGCAGCACAATTGACCAATATTTGAGGTGAAATTGCGGACCGATGTTCCGATATTTTAGCTTGGGCCTCTTTAGAACTATGTTGACTCGGATGCTGAACCTATTGCTTGCGATTAGCTCGTTTATGGACACTTTTCCTATTTTGTTTTATGAAACTTATTTAAGTTGATGTTTTGATGTTGAAACTATATTCTTAATTAATGATATGATATGTATATGTATGCATACATACATAGATACATATATATTGCATATATAAACATATCATATGTATAATTCTAAGAAAATATTATATGTTCGCTAGTTTTGGACCGGCATACCACCGCTATAACCGCTATTTCAAATATAAGTCTTGACCGCAATTTTGTATTTTCACCGCTATAACAGCATAGCAAGAGATCATGCTCATAATAAGATTAGGCAATGTGGTGTATGCAGAAGCTTCTTAGAATCTAAAGGTTTCAGATTAAGCCGAACAAAAAACAAAGTTCATGAGTTGTACTTTGATTTTAATTGGATGCACAAACCTATGTGGCCATGCCAACCTCCCACAAGGAGGGCTTTGCCGCTTCTAGGACTGTGTGGAGGTGGGCCTAGACCATGTGGATTAGTGGTGCCTTCATGTTGCCTATATCACTTCTAAAACATCATAGGTTAAGTAAGGAAGTGAACGATGAAGCAAACAATTAGAAATGATAAAAGAGTTGATAAACAGTATAGGTGCAAATGAAGGATCATATGACTCTCATGTGAGGTCACCACACATAATTTATCCAAGATGCACCTTCTATCATTTTATGATAAATTACTATACAAACTACAAAAGATCATTGTAAACAAAGTAACTTACAACAAAAACAATTTATTTATGTTTATCTTAAATACATAAGCAAATCTGCTTAATGTGACCACCCTAAGTTTAGCCCTCGACCATATCCTTTCTGCTAAGGTGAGCATTGTTTCCTAGCTAATGATGTTTATGTGTTATATTCCAGGCAGTAAATTAATCCCTGCTCAATCTTGTCACATCACCTTCACATGAACACATGAAATTGAACAAGCTATCTCTCTATAAGAATACATAATTTTAATCTAAGATATAAAATTCAACGGAATGGATAACATGAATATATACCATCTCCAATGTTCAAAAGTTTATGCAACGAAATCAACCATAGATAATTTAAGGCTAAATAAATTATTAACTTAAGAAATAGAAATTGTTGGCTCCACACCTCTTGCTCATAAATTTATCCTACCATTGATGATTTGATTTCATAAGCAACCTCCTTAACACTAGAAATGTTTGATAAAACAACATTTAACTATGAGATCATGTAATTCTAATAAATAAGAGAAAAATCTCGGGTTTTCAAATGCATTATGCTACATTGACCTTTCCGAGAAAGCATTGTCATAGAAACTTCTTCTGGTGGATGACATGCTGAGATCTTATTTAATTGTCAAGTAACACCTTGTTTTATTCTTAGTTTTTTGGTCAAATAAGTGCACATATATATAGTAAGACACATGGTTACATACTTGTGTAGAAACATGTATCCATGAAACAGTTAACAACATTGTGTTAGCAAAAATAGAAATACTCATTCAAACACTCCAAACTTGGAGCCTTTTTGAACTCTAAACTCTAATTTTAGTCATCAAAAGTCAAAACTACACAAATAAAAGTCAAATTTAAAACCTTGGACCATATATCTTTCTAGTATAGGCCTATTAAGCTCTTCCATTCTAAGCTTCAGTAAAAACTATAATGTAACTTTTTGGTTGACACTAATCCATGCCCAGGTATGAATTTTCAATTGCTGAAAAAACTTAACCCATATCCCATGGGTGGATCTTTCTGGAAGGAGAAAACTGTGTACATGTATTGACAGATAGAGAACTTACCTGAGATAGATCAACTATGGACAGACCTATGTGGTACGGATCAAAACAAGTTTTGATAGTCCATTATTATGTAAAAGGATTATTAAACTTAGAGCATAGTTAAAAAAATGTTATGGTAGTGCATCCGCATGTTGAAATTCCTGGATCCACAACTGAGATCAACAGATAACCAACTATAAATCCACTATATGATCCTCGGTAACAATATCAAAGGGATGATGAGATCAAAGTTGGGTATTGTAGTAGCAGTTTCAAGCTTTTACTGTGGGTGTCCATGGGAGGTTATAGAAGAATGCCATAATTGGCATCAAAGAGAGAGGGGGAAGATGAATGAGAGAGATGAGCTGGGAAGTAGAACCAACAGCAGGTTCAGAAATTTTAACCAGGGGCAACTTGAGCTAAAAACATCCCAATTAACACAGACAAAATGTAGCAAATTTAAAAAGCTTAAAGAGATGCATAGTAGTTTCGTGATCATTTTTTACGTTCCATATGCTTCACCATTTCCTTTAAAGGCATAAAATCTACGATCGAACGAACTTCAAAGTTGATGCAAAATTCACATGATTAAACAAAATGTTAACTCATCCAAGATAATACAATATAAACAAATTTCTATCAATTTGAATTTCACAAAACCCTAATTCTCTAAATAAAATTAAATCCCAAATAAAGCCAACACATTACACATAGATGCAATACAGACAAACTACAATAGCATATTGTAACAATAAATTGTATAATTATGACTAAACTAATTTAAATAAACAAAATTGAAGTTTAAACAAAACTATTTACAAAGAACGGGAGACGACTTAGGTTTGAAAAATCTGGAGGATGGGAGGACCTGAACTTTGCGTCTGGCAAGGGCCATTATGCTCAGGGCAGAAACAAAAAAATGCCCCACACCGATGTTTTAAGCAAATTAAAAGTACTATGTTTAAAGGGTCTGGAACGAAGTAGATACGCAGCTCATCCGCATGCCGATTTTTGTTAAACATAAAAAAGACTATACAATGAGAAACATAAACCAAAACCCCGAATAACAAAACAGAAAATACATCACCTAAAATAATTCATGCATAAACTTCCATTTCATCAAGTCCTACCTAAATGCAATAGCAAACACAAACAAGGAATCATCTGGGCAAGCACAAACATTCAGAACTCCAATTTTCTATGCTTGAAATTGCTGGGCAAGCACAAACATATTAGATTGCAACATTTATCACAATAACGGAAGTCCAGTCAGATACTTGCCCACAAGCAATTTTGAATCTGCTATCATAACAAGAACAAAGTCACCATTCATTGATCAATGTCAGGTGATATTACATATTCATCTATAAAACTAACAACTTAACAAGTTTTCATTTTTATTGTAGGTTAACAGTAACAGAAAATCAGAAATCTGGTGTGCTCATCAATTGACAAAATGACAGTGACTTGGATAAACCTAATCCAAATCATAGCATAACTTCATCAAATACAATACAAAAATCAAAGATCAACTAAAAACCAGACAAACTGATAAAACATATCAAATGCTGAAATAAACCTGATGTAAGCATAACTGATAACTTCATCATAAATTATCTAAGAAAAAAAAATAGGATCAAGGAATCAAGAATTTACCAAAATTTTAGATTTCAAACTTGCTCCCCCTAAGGGTCGAGACTAGAAGGCAGAAACCTGAAGAGAGGGAAATCCAGAGAAGGAGGAGTGAACGACCGAGAGCCTATTCAGGGCATAGTCGTAGAGGCAGAGATTGTGAGACGAGAGTCGAGAGTCCAGTCGGCTCGGCGAGATGAGCGAGTTCTGAGAGTCCAGTCCAATGGATTTCAAAGATTAAATTTTTTAAGGCCCATCAAAGATTAAACAGAGGAAGAACACAGCCCAGGACAGGTTATGGCGGGGGCCAGAGGTAACAGATGTCATGGAATGACAACAATTTCATTACAAGTATTTTCGGTAACAACAAAATGTTTCGTATTTGACTTTCAATTTACCAATGACCAAATGTATCATGCTTTGAAAATGTTTCTGCGTTTTATCAAGTAAATCCTTACTGATATTATTTACTGACTGAACATAATAAAAATTAGAAATCTTACAAGATAAAAAATAAGTGAGGTTAATGACTTTAATCATGTTTAAGACGCTTATCAGCAAGCCGTATTAATGACCAAAAATATTACACGATAAGACAAATGAGAGTGATATATTTTATCGCTGAATATTTGATAAGTAACCCCTTAGTCCTCAATTTTTAAAACAATTAATTTTCTTCCCCCCACTGTTATAAGTAACAAATAAAACTTGTACATATTTTAAATGACCACTATATCCATCGCATCTTTTCACCCTCTGTATGTAGTTTTAAAACTTCCACTACTTTTGTGCAGTTTCAACCAAATCATATTTATAAACACTAACGTGGTATTTGTTTTTTAAAAAAAAACTTTTATTTTACTACTTATGTCTGATTCGGTCAGACATAAGGCAATTCAGACAGACCGATTGTTTTTTTTTTCTTTTTTTAGAGCCATTTATCCCTTATTTTTCTCTTAAAAATTAAGTGATAACCTAGACACTTATTTTTCTCTTAATCCCAAAGACTATTCAGAGAACCGATTTCTACTTCATCAATCGATCGACTTCACCCTCTCAATCGATCGACTTCACCCTCCATCGATCAACTTCACCCTCCTCACCGTCTCAATTGATCGACTTCACCCTCCATCGCCTCTGGTGGCTTTAAGTCGACCCAAATCAGATCCAAATCAAGAGGGTTTTCTTCCCTGTGGGTTTTCGCCACTGTGTGTTTTCGTTCTTGTGTAAACTAATAGTTGTGCACCTTTATCCTCGTGAATCAAGGTATTTTCGTCCCTGTAGTTTTCGTCACTGCAGTTTTCATCATGATGAAGATTTGCCTCAATTTTAGAGGTGGATTTGGGCGTTGGATTTTAGAGGAGTGGTGGTGGACAGTGGTTGATGGTGGTGGGATGAGGGTGGAGATTGAGGATAGAATGTTTGATCTGGAGGAGAAAGAAGAATTAAATGAATCTAGGGAACATAAACAGAAGTGAAATAAAAAATTATACATATTCATATGTTTTGTTGGTTACAAAAACAAACTGTTGATTCAGATTTCAGACTTCAGACGTTTGTCAGTTTACAAAAACAAACAATCTGACTGATTCATATTTCATACTTTAACACTACCTCTTAAAAATCAAAAGTAAAATCAGACTTCAACACCTCTTAAAAATCAAACTTCACCTAACAATAGGTTAGAATTGTCAAATCCACAAATGCACAACCAAATCATTGCATAACCAAATTTAGTGCAACATCCACAAATTCAAAAAAATATTTTCTATACAAGGGCGGTCCTCTTAAATAAAACAGGTGAAATTCAAAAAAAAATTGTATTAAGTATGTATTAGAAGGGTATTCGCGTAATACATTGAGATACATATTTATTTTAGTATTTTGTTTTATTTTTTTTTTTGTCTCTGTTGATATAATACGGTTTATATGGTTTTAAGAAAATATATTATTTTTACTTTTGAATAAAAATAAATTTGAATATATCATAAAATTTTGAAAAAATATATTGATATTAATATAAAATTAACTATTTAAAACTTCT